TGAGGCAGAATGAGAACCAGGGCCATAGGGAGATGGGATAGGGGCGATAGGAGGCAGGAAGGTATATTACCTGGAATCTTTGGGGGAGCTCCCCGCTCTCCATACCCTGTCAAAGATGCACAAAAATAGAGTGAGCTGTGGCCAGGCAAAGAGAGGTTCTACAGACATCCAGGCTGAAACCAGGCTTCTGCATCTCAGTAACATAGCCAGAAATGGAGAAGGTGTAATGGGTGAGAGGGGGCTACAAAAGGCCTGATAAAGGGCACAAGATGGACATCAGAGCTGAGTGCCTCAAGGGTCTTGCTCTGTCCTCACTGCTGGACACAGCTAAACTTGGAAGAGGCATGAACTGTAATGAGTGGGTGGGAGCAGGCCAATGTAGAGGCTGAACCAGCCTTCTTCACCCTTCCCCAAATACCCTGAATCCTATATCCACTCAGGAAGGACCTCTTACCCAGCTCTGATGGGATCACCAGCTTCCGCTTTTCCCCCTCACACATCCTGCAGGACAACACATATTCAGCACATGGCAGCACTCCAGGCTCCTTGCCCCCACCCCATCCCTGGGGCTTGCCTCCCATGGTTCACCTCTTGGATGACAGCCATGGCCCCGACTCACCCCAGCAGCCCCTGGTCCCAGCCCTTGATGACCTGGCCGGTGCCCAGAGAGAAGACAAAGGGCTGGTTCTGGGGCAGGCTGCTGTCAAATTCTGTCCCATCTTCCAGCTTCCCCTGTGGGACCATAGGAAGGCCAGTGAGGTAGAGGATCCACTCTGATAGACGCCCCCCCCCAGGTGCTCTCCTCATCAAGCTGTCCCCCACAGCATTGGTAGTCATAGTCCTAGGTGACAGAGCCTTAGGCAGTTCACAGTACATTGTAACTGTTGGTGCCAACCTGGGGAGTAGACAGTGAAGAGCAGGGCAGAACCATGGAAACTGGCAGAGAAGGGATTTGCCCAAGGTCACCCACCTTAGCTGAGGAACCTGGCTCCCAAGTCCTTTTTGGTCCCTAAAAGCGCCACCCACACCCAAAAGCTCTGCTTCCTTCACCCACCGTGTAGTGCATGTGCAGGACATCCCCCTTGCGCGATTTGATGGGACAGTGCTCTACCCGCTTCTTGACCCCGATCTGCAGTTTCCGTTTGCCCTCAGCCCCCGCAGCCGTGGCCAGAGCACTCAGGCAGATGGACAGTACTGTCAGGACCCAGCTGAGTCTCATGTCTCTGCGGGAACAGACCCCGACCTACCAATCGGTAGGAAGGGCAGGAAGGGTATGGAATACCTGCAGGTAGTAGGTATTCCACCCCATTGTATCTTGCCTGCCCCTGGGGATCCCCTTGTTCTAGGTCACCGCCCCCTTCCCCAGGATCCGCAGCCACACTTACCAGTCCAGTGAGAAGGGGGCTTGCCCGAGGACCCCAGCAGCGGGGGGAGGGGGTCAGGGGAGGCCACAGCAGCCAGGGCCCCGCCCCTTTGTTCACCCTCAACCTTTCCTTCCCTCCCGGTCCCCAGCTCCGTTCTTCAATTCCCACCCGTCCCTTTACGCAAAGTCCAGACCCTATCTGGCTGCACAGCAGTTGCCCGGACCGGGCGACACCACTCACGCCACACCCAGTTGCCCCCCGCCCAGCACACCCACACCTCTGCCGCCGCTGCAGGGGGCCGGCCTCGAGGAACCCACACATCACCGCTGGGTGGCTCCGGGGAGCCCCGGTCCTCTGGGGATACCCCCCAGGCCGACCCTGTGCCTCCGCCCGGGGCGCCGCCCCAGCTCTGAGCCCTTGGGGGTCTGCGGGGCACCCAGACCGGCCCAGTGTCGGGTGACCGTCGAGCTCGCTCCACCCACACCACCTCTCCTGGAGGAGTTCTCGGCCTACCACGTTCCCAGGCCCGGCCACCACGGAGACCGCCCCCGCGTGGACGCCCTGGGCCATTACCTGGGCCTACCCCTGCGCTTGGATCCTTGGCCCCACCCTTTAGAGGGCGTAGTTCCGCCCCCCGTCCTGAAGACCCTCCCTCGACAGAACTAGATCCCTTTTCCTGAACTGTACTCACGCCACTCACCGGCTGAGGCCCCGCCCCCAGGGCCTGGGCCTCGTCCCCTTTGGTCTCCAAACCAGAGGCTCCGCCT